CTCACCGCCGCCGTGTGGGCCCCAGCGCCGCGGCCGCCACCGCGCGGGGTCGCGCCGTTCTTCTCAACTCTGGCTTCTGTCTGTGCACCGGGACGCCTCCGTATTGCGGCTGTTTTTTTTCTGCTGCTTCTTTGCCTTCGCCCACATATACACGCGCCGAAGGAAAGAGACCAAACGTTGTGTGCTCTTCGAAGGCTCTGCAGCTGCTATCGCCAGCAATCAACACACGCACACGGGCTGCGCGGATCCAACGCAAGGGGGGAAAGAAGAGTGTGAGTGAGAGAGTGAGCGGCTTAACATGCCCCGGCAACTGTTTTCCTCTGCGGTGCTGCTCCTTCTTTGCTTGTTGTTGATGTGCGGCGTCAGTGGGTTTGTTTGCGCTGCGGGGAAGTCGGAAGATGGTGCTATCTTTTGCTGGAAGGATATCTCAGCTGAAGGCGAGGGAGCGGTTGACGCGCTGCGTGCCCCTGTTCTTCTAGAAGTAGGGGGTGAGCCGTTGCTCATCGCCGAGGCGCTCTTCAAGAAGGGCGGTGCCGACGCCATTACGGCCATCTTATCACAGCCCCTCACGGCAGGTGCTGGCAAAGCACTAGAAGTGAAGTTAGAGACAAGCGAGGGGAAACCGCAGGTGTTGGATAACTGCACTCAAAGCGAGAAGAAAACAAACTTGAGCCGACCGACGGCGGTGGTGAAGGGCAATGATATTTACATGCTGCTGGGAAACTACAGCGCGGCACAGCCCGTTGGCGAAGGCGAATGGAGGCTTTTGCTGGTGAAGGGGAGTGTCAGCGGCGGCAAAAGGATTACATGGGGCGAGCCTTCGCTGCTGACCCGCACCTTTACAATTGAGGACCACAAGTCCGTGTCGCGGCTGATTGGCGGCGGTGGGGCCGGTGTTTTAACGGGAGACGGCACGCTTGTCTTCCCGGTGGAGGCCACAAAGAGAAAGCCGGAGACCACTGGAAACACCGTGTCGCTGGTCTTGTACTCCAGCGACCCTGAGACGGGGACTTGGCGGCTGTCGAAGGGGATGTCTGCGGAGGGGTGCGGTAGTCCCTCCGTCGTGGCGTGGGAGGGCAACAAACTTTTGATGATGGCCGCGTGCGAGGGCGGCCGCCGCAGAGTGTACGAGTCGGATAATAAAGGGGAGACGTGGATGGAGGCGCTCGGGACGCTCTCGCGCGTGTGGGGCGGCGCACCTGCTGGCGCCGGGCCCGGCGTTCCAAGTGGGTTCATCACCGCGACGATAGGGGGCAGTGGTGAGGGCAGGAGGGTGCTGCTCGTCACCCTGCCGGTGCATTCGGGGGACGGCGGAAATGGCCAACTCCACCTTTGGCTCGCCGACGCCGCCCACGTTGTCGATGCTGGGCCGATACCCACCGCGGGCGAC